CTTTTAACGACATGGATTACTCGAGGGTGAGTTTTTTGTCAGAGGGACAATTGCTTGTCACATTATTTTATTAATATAACGTTAATTTTGTGTCCTTATTAGTACCACAGGGATACATCACAAACGATCTTCCAATCGCTTGATGAGCTAAATTGTTCTCTCTGTGAAAATACTCAACGTTTTAGAACATAACAATCTATCATAGTTTTTTTTTTATTTTTTCTGCGTTAACTAAAGATGTTTTACTGCGTTAATTAATATTTATATGTACATCTGAGGATGGCTCGAATATGCAGCCGAAACGTTATGGTTTGACTTCTGTTTGCGTGCGCATTTATAGCGTGTGAATTTTAGTTTATTGTTATTTTATTTTAATTTATAATATATTAAATGTTTTATTAGTTCACACATATAATATTGACTCTTAATTGCCTTTTTATTTCATTGACAATTTTTAATACTAAGAGTCCTGTATATTCGTTTTATTTTAAATAATAATAATAATAATAATAACAGTAATAGTAATAGTGACCTTGTTCAACTTCCGCTAGAACGTCCTTAACATGCGACAAAAAATACGTGTCTCTTATTTTTGTCTATAGAACAACATACTAAAAGCTCATTTAAATCGGAGAGATCCAACTGGTTGTATTCCCTTATTAGTAGACAAAATATTAATCCAAGAATCGCGCGTTCGGCAATGTTTCTGCAACAGTACGATTACGAAGTATTGTAGTACATCGACAGGGTAAGCGTATGGCGCATGTGGACGCGTTGAGCCGATGTAATAGTATTTTAGTATTAGAGGGAAATACTTTTGAATAAGTGTTATCTATAAAGCAAGATCAAGACGCAGAAATCTGTAAAATCCGCGACCGACTAAAGATTCAAAAAGCAAACGAGAAAGCTTACGATAAATCTCGGAAAACCGCGACAACATACCAAGGCTGTGTTCCAAAATTGATTGCCAGTGCTGCGTGTATGTCGTCATAAGTGCATGCTACCAATAGCGTTCCAATTTTAGTAAGCATGCTTTTCATGCAAACGCAGCTTTCATTTTGGAACGATATTTTCAGTGCTATTAGCGTATAGCGACGTCAGCGAAATAACCTAAGTATGGAGAAAACCTTACAGAAAAAATTCTTATTTGAAACTGTTATAAAGTTAGCACTTGATTCTAGTGATTCAGATTTAGAATTAGCAGAAATGATACATAATTATTATGAACGTCAACCAAGAATACCAAAGGTACATTGTAAAAATTATGTCGAAGATGTTGTTTGGCAATATACCAATGCTGATTTTATTTTAAAAGTCATTTTCGGTAAGTTATTTAATTATATTAATAACATACAGTTTAAACTCAATAAACGTGATAATAATGTGTTCTTGTTTTTTTTCCATAGTCTCAGTCGACTAACTTTTCGGTTCTTATTGGAATTATTAAATGAACAATTATAAAAAAATAAAAATAAAAAAAATAAAATAAAAAAATGAAATAAAATAAAAAAATAAAAAAACAAAATAAAATAAATAAATTTACTTTCTGATTTTCTCTTGTACATAGGTTATGTCAATTTTTATATTTGAATTCGAAGTATGAATAAATAAGTGTGACTACAAAAAGCTGAGAGACAACAAAAAAATTATTAATCTATTCACTACTTTTTGCTTTCTCATTATCTTCTACCGAAACAATTAAATAGATTAATTAGAATTAAGGTCAGTGACTTAATAAGTAAGATTAGTTCTAAGCTGTATATTCTACATTATAATGTAAAATGTATCATTAATGTAACTTCTGTTGATTTTTTATAATTTTATTTTTACCTTAAGAAGCGTATGTGACCGAAACGATCAGGATGGACAAATTGTAGGATTTTTAATTTGTTTAGAGTTTAGACTTTACGCGGGATTTGATTCCCGCACGGCCATGTAGCGCGGCCAATAGCTGCGTTCGGCAATGCAAATCTGAGGCGTCTGAGTGCTCTTTTTCTATAATGCACGTGACATATGCTGTAATATAAGAGCATTCCGACGCCTCAGATTTGCTATTACCGAACGCAGCTAATAAAAAACCCGCGCATTAATATACGCGACTCGTTAATCGCGAGCGTCCTACGAGGCGTCCTGTTATAGGAACGAGCAGACGCCAACGATAATCAGTTACAAGGAGACCTCTCAAAGTGTCACTTACCGATTTTAATGAAACTTGGTAAACTTGTAGCTTACATAAAAAGATGAATTTAGAGAATATTAGTTGCGGCCCAAAAACGGTCTGAAGGGATGAAATCACCTCTTATGTGTACAGCGGTTTTCAACTTTTTCCGTTATATCTCGAAAACTATTCGAGATATAAAAAAATATTTTAAACAAAAGTTTTACAACAAAATTATTCATTTGCGTTTTTAGAATAATTATTTAACAATTTTTTTCAAAATTTTCGAAAAAAAGTTGTTAAATAATTATTCTAAAAAAATATTATTGATATGAATAAATAAAGGTAATTTTATTGTAAAACTTTTGTATAAAACATTTTTTTATATCTCGAATAGTTTTCAAAGATATGGCGGAGAAAGCTGAAAATCGCTTCACACATGATTTCAAGAAAATAATAAAATAATACTATCATTTCCACACCACCTGTCATGAGGTAGATAGCATGGTGCGCTTTTTTTATAGTGGTTTCCCCAGTAGGCCTATTCCACTCTCATTTTTTTATGCACGAAAAAGATAATAAAGTTAGTCTTAGCGAAGCATTCGCCCAATGTACACTCCCTGTAGGAAAGGTACAAAATATATACGACCATCGTAAGTGAATCCTGACATATCCTGTAATAATCCCACAGTATATATCTGTTTTGTAACTTTATTAAATAACAAAACAATAAAATAGATGTGTTTGTATGTATAAATATTAGGGTGGCCCTTAATAAAAAAAAAAATTTTTTTTTCGCTCTCTGTAGATAATTCTTGTCTATGAGCCAAAAAAATAAGATCCTGAAAATTTCAGCCCGATCGAATAATTTTAACAGGTGCCTGTGAAGACTTGAAATTTAACATTGTTTTTAAACGGAAAAAACATAAATTTTTTAAATTTTTTCATAACTTTTTTTATATGATATTAACAAGTCTGCAATCGTGCATACTTTTTCTCAAATGTCTTTTGAACACCCTAAAAAAATTGCCATAAAAAAATTCCTGCTGACATATAACGTTTTTAATGTCGGTCATTTTTCGCTAAAAAATCAGAGAGAGACTAAAATTTCATCATTATTGCTCCGAAACTCTCTCACGACACTTCCTAAAATTATGAGCCGGTACATTTCATATTCTTTGATATTTTACGAGTAAAATGAGCCCCGAATGAGTCGACTGCGACCATTCAAAGCCGAGTTGGCGTATTTTTTGAACAAAAATATTTTTTTTTTTTAAATTTGCTAATGGAAATAAAATGGCTATTTTTCGCTGTTATATTTACTAAACAAAAATAAACAACATTGTGCTATTGAGGATCGTATATCTTTCCCCTTTTGTACTCCTATTGACCTACTTATCTGTCCACAAAAAAATTTTGAAGTAACGAATGTAACTCCGTACCCTAGTAAACGAATGTAAACTCCGTAACCTAGTAAATATTCGCTTATTTCTCATGGAATACGTCAGTTCCTGTGTAGCTACTTTGAGGAAATATTTCTAATGCAATTCTAAATATAATCCATTTAATAAAAATATTTTTGGCTCAGTAGGTCGCAAAATGCGATTTTGCGCCCCGTTTTCAGGGCGCAAAATGAGATTTTGCGCCCCATGTATAATCATAGGAATGAATTTAGGGATAACGAAGCGCTCACCCCAATTTACGGACTACTGTGCCAAAAAATGTTGTTCGTATCTCGGGTGCAAAATGTCATTTTGCGCCCTAGGTATGAAAAATACTATATATATACAATTTGATATTCTTAATGTTATCAATCAAAAAATACTAATTTTTTGAAAATGACCCATATTGAACTTTCGTGAAATCTGGAGGCAATAGTAGGCGCCAAATATTGCATTAAAATATCATCTGCTTATTTTTTTGGATCTCGTTTTCATTTTTAGGACTGAAAGGTTATTAACGGCTCATAATTTTAGGAAGTGTCGTGAGAGAGTTCCGGAGCAATAATGATGAA